AACAAGCCCTAAGTACAACAACCCACAAAGTTTTCCAACTATTTCTTCCCATTGTCCATTTCTTATCATGGGCTTCTAAATTTGTAAAATCCAAACTTGCAAAAGTAGCAAAACTACATAAGGAACCACTATGATGTAAACAAAAAGTAGCAAAACTACATAAGGAACCACTATGATATAAACAAAAAGTAACAAAAAGGAGGGTTCTCTAATCACATGAAACAAGTAAACAGTAAAGCAGTTAAAAACTGTTCTAGTTCTCATTTATACTTGAAAAGAATACGTCCAACCCAGAATTTAGAAATATGTTCTAGTTCTAGTTCGCCAAATTTCAATCAAATTACTCAAATTTAAACCAATTTCAAGAACTATTTCAAGATATAAAACATTTGAAAGAAAACCAATTGCTCAATACATGATACCATATAAGGTCTTTCGGCTAGCGCTTAGGAGCCAAAGGTATCATGAATTAATTGAGATAAAGAGAGGTTGTGATGGTTTATACACGTTTGTAGGAGACAGATGTCGACACAGTAATTGGACATTGCGGCATTAGAAGTCTAAAATATAAAAACAAACCTTAATCAGTTAATCGTAACTCTAAAATGTTATATACAGAGGTTTTATGATCTTATCAGATGCAACAGAAATTGGGCATTGCGGCCTTAGAAGTCTAAAAATGTAAAAACAAACCTTAATCAGTTAATCTTAACAGTAAAATGTTATATACAAAGGTTATATGATCTTATCAGATGCAACAGAAATTGGACATTGCGGCCTTAGAAGTCTAAAAATGTAAAAACAAACCTTAATCAGTTAATCTTAACTCTAAAATGTTATATACAGAGGTTCTATGATCTTATCAGATGCAACATAGATTGGACATTGCGGCCTTAAGAGTCTAAAATATAAAAACAAACCTTAATAAGTTAATCATAACTCTAAAATGTTATATACAGAGGTTTTATGATCTTATCAGATGCAACAGAAATAGGACATTGCGGCCTTAGAAGTCTAAAAATGTAAAAACAAACCTTAATCAGTTAATCTTAACTCTAAAATGTTATGACAGTTATAATACAAACAAATAAAATATTGACATGTGTTCTAGTATCCTTAGGTTTTCTCAACTTGAAACTCCTTCAAAACTTGTAGAGTGTAGAGTTGATGAGATAAGATGTTCTTTTAGATCTTCACCAAATACAAAGTCTGAATCAACATCTCAGACTTCATCTTCTGAACTCCGACTTTATAAAATAGAAACTCTGACTCTTCATAGTCAGACTTCAATACTTAGCATATTTTCAGAAGATCGCTTCTCTAATCCAACATCTTCAAAAAGGTCTGACTTTACAAATACAGTTTCCCAATCGTTGTTACCGGTCTTTCTTTATTCCATTACAAAAAATCATTTAATGATTATTATCATCTTAAAAGATGATAATTATTCAACTCCCTGCCGATTGTAATTTCATCACATTGTCCGCAATTTAAGTTGAACAATGTGGATAAACATAGAATAGGAAATGATTATTTTACAAAATATATCATCAATCATTTTCTTATGTTGTCACTGTTCAAAAAAGTTGTTTACATTGTTGTAATCGGCTTATCATAATAAGTTGCAACTATATCCATTTAACAATATTCTGATTTATGACTAATACATATTATTATTACATGCAATAATACACTTTAATCATATACTGATATAACGATGTAATATTTATCGTGTATCAAGTATCTCATCATATTATAATTACATTGAATTTATCATCATAATCATGTAGTCCATGATGCATAAAACAATTTGCACATAGTTTGTATTATCGTTGCATGTGTATACACACACATAGATACCCAATTTCCGGCCATTACACATATAAAAGTAAAATACAAATACCGCATAATACAGATTAAAAACCCCCCAAATCCAAATACATCAAAACCCTAGAGGGAAACAAATGCATTGAGGGATGAGAAAGAAACGGTTGAGCATATCCTTCGAAGAAGGGCAGAAAGAGTCGGCAAGAAGCATAGGGAAGACTGTCAAAGAATCAAGAAGTAGATCACGTGACGAGAAGTTGAGCAAGGTTTGCTTAAGAGAGAGATTAGATACGATGTCTTTTGTTATTTGAAATCTATGAAGGTAATTTGAGGTCTTTTAACCAAAGCTTACATGTTCTTGCCAACTCAATAAGAAGCGCCCCCAATAGAGTTGATCAGTATAAGATAAACAATTTTGTTCGGTAAACATCTCACTTTTTATTTGCGTAGGAGTCTTTTATCTTGTTAGAGACAAGGAAACATCTCATGACGTGTCAAATGGATAAATTTAAGATTTTATGTTAAAAAAAAAGTCAAGCATTTTACAAATTACGCTCAAGGACCTATCTTATTTATAGGGTTTGATGGAATCTAAAATTTGATTTCATTTCAATCCCTCGTTTGGTTTAAAGGAAATTCTACAACTAAATTCCCGAGATTCTAATAAAACCCCACAAACATTAAATTTAGAAATCACATGGAGTTAGTTACTATTTCACAAGATTTAATAGGATTTATCTGTAATAATGTTCTAAAAAAATATTAAAAATCATTCGTTTCGTAATAACCAATTAATAAAAGATAATTTAATTATTTTTATAAATCATTTATAAAAGATGAAATTCAATTTCATCTTAAATTCTACAAACTAAATATAAAAGAGATTTCAAATGCGGTGACTCCGGACGATCTGCAAAGCAGGTTGGTCGCTCTGAGATTAATCGGCTCGCATAACGAGTTGGATATCCAGGTTAATAAAATCCAAATTTCTCAAAAATATTTTGTCAAACCAAACTCTTCCTAAATTAATTTTAAAGATATTAATTTGTATTTTCATAGTTTTACTAACATTTAATTAATATATTAATAATTTATAAAAAAAATGGGTTTGAACAAACCAAAGCCGACCAGATTGAAATGGGCTTTATTTTAATTGGGTGGGCCGTATGTTTCAGTCCAGTCCAGGATTTAGGGTTCTTCTCTTAGCGTCTCTGCTCACTTATATACCAATCTCATGCCCTAAACTCCTTTCGGTAGCGCCTCACCCACGACCACCAGCAGTCGACGTTCAAGGACTCATAAGAATGAGTTACAAGGTTCGTATAATCGCATCACATCTCTTAATTCTTCTCGTTTTTGTTTAATTGGTTCCTTATTCCTCTGTTCAATGGTTATAGATCGAGTAAATTGGGATCTAATTTGTGGTTTTTTACTGAAATGATGGAAGTTTATTGTATTTTTGTTGTATTTGGTGCAGTTTCATCAGTTTCAGGTCGTCGGTAGAGCCCTGCCGACGGAGTCGGATGAGCATCCCAAGATTTATCGCATGAAGCTCTGGGCCACCAATGAAGTCCGTGCTAAGAGCAAGTTTTGGTGTGTTCTCATTTTTTTGATGGAAAATACACGAAGGTCTTGATGTATTGGTATTAATTGGTTAATTTGTTGTTGAAAATCAGGTATTTTTTGAGGAAACTCAAGAAAGTCAAGAAGAGCAATGGTCAGATGCTTGCTATCAACGAGGTAAAGCCCACACTCTATCTGATATTATTTATGGATTGTGATGCAATTATAGTCATAGTTTAATTGCCATGAAATCCTTGTTAGCATGATCAGAATTTGGTCCAAAACTCGTTATTGTACTTTGTTATTGTATGACATAGTGCTCTATACTTTGATTTTATTTCTTGTTGCAAAACCATCATTATGTTATCTTGATCCCGTAATTGTAATGATTTTGTTTTATATGACTTACTGATTTTGGGTTTGCTGGTTTTTGTTGTTTGTCTTTGTAATATCTAAATTAAAACTAGTTGGTGTTGTGCTTGTATGCAATTCCACATAACACTGCAATTAGGGTTTTAGGCAACTTTATATTATAAAATAACCCTTTTTTGCTGGAGCACTTCTTTTTTCTAATTGTCTAGGTTTTGATACTATAGAGCACTTGCCTACAATGTTTACATGGAGTATGTTGCATGAAAGTGTTAGTTTCTACATTTTCTGGTTAGCATGTTGTTGTAATAGCTAGAATTTACTAGGGTATGAAGTCGTGTTGTTTAGTTTTATTTAGCTCTAGTCTTTTGAATCCATGCAGTTTACTCAAGATTTTTCATGGTATATCATCTACACCTGTTAGATTTATTTTTAATGCACCCTGTTGTTATAAATGTGAGGTAGCATTCCTTTTCTGCCATTGGGAGTTTCATATCACCTGCTCATGAAAACATGGCAGAGCCACATGATGTGTTTTTTTTTTATCTTGGCCATCGTTTCTTATGAGGATGTTAAGACAGTTTAAAGAGGAGCAGGAATGTTTTTTATCAACTGTTTGCATCTTTTTTGAAGTTAATGGACATTGGATTTTTTTTTCATCGCTTGTGGTTTCCTCTTGTTATTTTCATATCTGTGCTGGAGTTTTCTTGCTAGTTGTGATTACTTTTTTCATTTTGTTGCTCTTGGTTTGTTTATTCATTTAGCTTGATTATATATGTTCATGTGATTTGTGTTCTTGGGAAACAGATAAGGTTTGTCTTCATGTGGGTGGGATATGCATTGGTTTGTTTGGTTTTTTTAATCTTTAGGTGATTATTCTATTTTTTACCAGATTTTTGAGAAAAACCCAACAACAATCAAGAACTACGGCATTTGGCTGAGGTATCAATCAAGGACCGGATACCATAACATGTACAAGGAGTACAGGGACACTACCCTAAACGGTGCTGTTGAGCAAATGTACACCGAGATGGCTTCTCGTCACAGGGTTCGTCACCATTGTATTCAAGTGATCAAGACTGCCACCATTCCTGCCAAGCTTTGCAAGAGGGAGTCAACCAAGCAATTCCATAACTCCAAGATCAAGTTCCCATTGGTGTTCAAGAAGGTTAGACCTCCAACTAGAAAGCTCAAAACCACATACAAGGCTTCGAGGCCTAATTTGTTTGTTTGAGTGGCCTATATTATTCGGATGTTTGTTGCAGTCGTTACTGGAAATTTTGATTTTGATTTTGAAACATGTTTGATATTTCTTGATCTTGGATCTTTTGCTGGTTTTAGAAATCTTGGGATATTTGAGATTTTTCATGTTTTGCCCTTATGATGATGATTAGGTAATGCCATATTATTGGGTTATGATCCAGCTTTCTTGTTTATGCTTATTTTATATCCAATTATATCTTTATTTTTAAGCACATTCTAGGAGTAGGTTTATAGAACTCAAATGAAGGGGATTGATAATGGGATGAAAAATAAGATTTATGTATTAATGAATTCAACCAAGCATTTTTCTGCATCCTGCTTAATGGCTGAGGGTCTGAATTTGTTACTATGAATTGTTTTTATAATTACTTGTGAAATCTTGCATACCGGAAGAGTTTCTAGAGTTGATGAGACCACAATTTCCTTTCCACTCATCTCCATGTAAGGAGTTCAGTTCATGTTTTGAAATATGCCACATATAAATTGGTATCATCATTTTAAAAAAGGGGCAATTTGCTTACTCTAATATTGTTGATGTAAGTGTAAGGTGACTTTCATATCATTTTGTTATTTATCAGTAAAATTAGGTTTCTTTTTTCTTCAAAAATCAAAAATAACCCTTCAACGTAGCTCTCGACCTTATCTTTTTCGACACACTTACTTCTCCATAACTCTGACTCCTTTGTCTTCTGATTGCGAATCCAACTCCTCCTCTATCTAATTTTAATACAAAAGCCTTTCACATCAAAACCCTATTTTCTCTTCAATTTATTTGTCAAGGGAAAGCATACCCTGAACCTTTCAATTTATATGGACATTTCAATTATGTCAATCAATTTAGGGTATTTCAATTATGTCTAAACAATGAATATAGCATATTATTATAAGTAAGATACTCATATATATATAATTATAACACACAGTAAAAGATAAATGCATAACTAAAAAAAAAAAAACTAATCTAATTCAAGTTTCTAGCTTGTTACAAGACAAATCATAATTTAAAATATTATAAATAATAGTGATTTTTATATTTTAATGATACGCAACAAAATTACGAAATAAATACAAATTTTAATAAGTAAATAAAATAAATGCAATGTACTATCTGTATTTTCTTTTTTAAATTTGGATGTATTTGCTAAGTGATGATAGCGTAGGTTTTGCATTTTTATGTTGTTTTTGTTTATAGTGTTTGAATTTGTGGTGGTGGTGGTTGAACTCTGAAAAGAGGCTCATGTGATTGGAAGAATCAAAAATTTGTTTTTAAATGATAATGGTAAAGGAAATCAAAATCAAAATCAATTGCTTGTAATCAATAATAAAATCGATAATTGTTTGATGAGACATCATGATTTACTTATGTCGTATTAGTTTTTAGAACTAATAAGGTCTCGACTTACATGATCAATCTTCAAGTAATCACTAAGAATCAATGGCACATTTAAAATCTTTAATAACAACTTGAGAGAAGATAAAAGAGATAGTCAAAGCTCCAAAGATTGGTCAAACTCTATATACACGTAAACTGATATTACAAATGAGCTCCTATTAACAATTACACTAAGGGCCTGTTTGTTTTTTAAAATTTTCACTTAATTGCCTCTTAACTCTTAATCAGTCAGACATAAGTGATTTCAGATTGTTTGTTTGTTTTTTTAAATTAAGAGCTTTTTTACCTCTTACCGTTCTCTTAAAATTAAGTGGGAATCCTATGTCTGAAATCAATTTCAGAGCCGCATCCCATCTCCATCTCCATCTCGCTCTCAACTCTCGATTTCTCCATCTNTCTCCATCTCCATCTCGCTCTCAACTCTCGATTTCTCCATCTCCATCTCGCTCTCAACTCTCGATTTCTCCATCTCCATCTCGCTCTTCCATCGCCATCTCGCTCTCAGCTCTTGATTCCAAAGTCTCGCTCTTAGCTCTCGATGTCAACAGCTCACGATTTTTTGACTGCCTCTCCGTCCAAGCTCTCGATCTCTCGAATGCTCTCGATGTCAACAGCTCACGATTGTTCGTGTTTATAAAGATTCAAATTTCAGACGTAAAAACAAATAGTCTGACTGATTCAGATTTCAAACTTCAGACGTAAAAACAAACAGTCTGACTGATTCAGACTTCAGAACCACCTCTTAAAATTCAGAAGTGAATTCAGACTTCAGAACCACCTCTTAAAATTCAGAAGTGAATTCAGACTTCAGAACCACCTCTTAAAATTCAGAAGTGAATTCAGACTTCAGAACCTCTTAAAAAACAAACGCCACCTAAGACTAGACTATATGTAAGGTCAAACTTGAACCCTTGAAAGTCAAAGTCAAACATAACAAAAAAGTCAAACACGATGTTTATTACCATTATAAACAAAATTAACTTTTAAGACGAATACAATTTAACTCTGATTTTCAGTCCTAACATGAATCCATTATCAAGTATAAGTATTTTTCAAAATTGCAGTGAACGTAAATTTATGACATATACAATTAGAGAAGTATAAGCTGACTTGAAGCCTAGAACTAGTTACTAAAAGCCCAATTGGTTATTACTGGTTAAGATTTTTTAAAAGTTGGAACATTTATATGAACGTTTTTTTTTTTTTGTTATATTTCGGACCATTTCGCTCTTTTGTTTAAGGATAAATATGTGTTTGAGTAGTTGTTTTTTCATGCAAATGAAAACACTCTCAAACATCTAAATTAAACAACCAATTGTGCTCTTGAAACTTGATATATTATCATGTTATACTGATTAGCAAATATAACTTTTGATTGAAGTAGACAAAGTATTCCTAAAATAGATTATATTAAATCATAAAGTTTTTAACAAGTTTATTTAAAGCATGATTCATAAATAATATATTATTAAAGAAAACATAATAAATAAAACCATTATTCAAATAAAATTTGGATCAAACGTATTTTTGTTTCATTCTCATTTTATGTTGAATAATAATTTATTTCTATCTTTTTATTAGCATTATTTAAGAAATCAATTACCTAAAATATGTTAATTAATGTTGTTTTAAAAATATCTGTTAATTGATAATATCTTTGCTAAATCAAGCTTCTGTCCACTGTTCCTGCCTTTTGCCAATTGAAGGATTGGTAGTTATGACGGTGTGTTTGGACCGACAAAATCACCACCACCATTGTTGTTTGGTCGTCACACCATCATCTTCAATATTTTTGTAGGTAGATTAAACTTTAATTATGCTATATTTTAATTTTGGAATTGATTTAATGGTGTTACGGTTTTTTTTAAATAGAACTTATGAACCTTGTGCGATTAGTTGATGTGTAGGTAAGTGCAGATATCAAAGGTTATCCGCAATGTAATCAATTAGAAGTAAGAACATCTCTAACATATTTGCTTTAACTTATGTAAAATATAGAAAAAAACAGTCAAAATTTTCAAAAAAAATTATATTAAACTTTTAATAGTTTTTTCAATTTTAAAAAGGTATAATATTAAAATATTCAACCATTTTGGAGATATGTTTGAAAAATTGTTATTTAACTTTAAAATCTCTTAGAGTAAATTACATAGTTAGTCCTTGTACTTTGGCTGCTATCTAGTTTTGGTTCCTAAAATTTACCAAGTACATTAGTGGTTCTTATTTTGTGTTTCACATATCAGATTAGTCATATGAGTTAACACTGTTATTTTCCCTTCGTTAAATGCATCAGTTGCCCCTCACATGAAGGGAAAATCGGTCCTTTTACTTCTATTTTTTATTTTTAAATATATAAATAAATTAGCGGTATTTTATATTATATATATATATATATATATACACATATGTAAATAATAATTAATATTGTATAATCCCCAATGCTCGCTCTGCCTGCTGCCCTCCCAATTTCTAATGCGAAACCATCCCCCTACCATTTCTAAGGCGAAACCACCCCTCCCCTCCTCTTTCTCTGACGAAAACCCCTCCCTAGGTTATTCAACTAACCTAATCAACCCAGCCAACCTAACCAGTAATAACTCAACTCGAAGACACTCAATACCTAATGAAGTTGTGAACTTTTTAAACTATGGGTATTGGGTCAGAATTAGGTTAGGGTCATTTGAACCTAATTCAACCCGACAAACCCGATGCATTTCTATAACATGGGTTTAATAGTCCTTAATTAATATACGCACATTAGACATTAAACCAACCCGTAATTAGCTCTGTTCATTATTATATGTAATTTCAATCGTAATTTTTTACTTTCATGAACCTTCAATTTTCTTCTTTGAGTTTGTTACATATTTTCGAAGACCTACAACTTTAAGTGCACAAAATTGTCTATTGGTTCTTGTTCTTCTTCTTTGAATGTTGAGTTTGTTGCAACATTCTCTTATAGCATGCATAAACATACATATGCACTATTACCACATAGAAAATGAAGTACATGATACATATGTAATTGTTTGCCTTAATAGAAAGCTTCATGAAATATTCTTTATGTAATTTTTGGTCTTATTTGTACGTTCTCATTTTGGTTATACTTCATTTAAGCACAATCAGTTAGCTATATTGTAAAATGATGTACCAAATTTTTAGCCCGACCAACCCAACTCGCATGGTTTAGGTTTGGTTGGGTTGAGATTTTTCAAACCACAAACATTGGTTTGTGTTTTTCAAATTCCTTCAACCCGGCCAACCCAGCCCATATGCAGCCCTACTTCTAGTGGGATGAAAGAATATACACATTTTCTATGAAGAAAGTCGAACACCATCTCCACGATAAAAGTTTCTAGAAAGAGTCGGCATCCATTTTGTCAAATCAAGTGTCCACCCCCTCCTCATCTGATGAAATCCGATCATAGCGTCGATCTCTATATGGAACACAATTTAAACCCATCCATCACCGACCACCGCCCCTTCCCTCTTTCTTTGTTATGTCTTCCACATCAATGAAACATAAGGTGATCACTAATGGTTGCATGTTTAGTTAGGGTGTTTGTATGATTCTCTACCCATTGTCTGATTTAGGGCTTGATTTTAAGGATTTGGAGTTTGTGTTTTTAATTTATAGTGTGTCATTTTGTATCTCAAATTTTTTATTTATGGTCTTGAGATTTTTTTGACTGGATTTGTGGGTGATATAGGGTTTTGATTTCACTTATTTGTGTTTGTGAGAGTGGTGATGGGGGGCATGTTCTATTAGAAACCTAAAACTGTTTAAGAACTCAGGAACCGTCCACAATGCAACATGTGACATATTCATTTAGAAATATGGACGTATTATTCTCCATGAATATGCGATTCATAATGATTCACATGCTCATATTAATCATGAATGTGTTATTCATGTTGAATAACATTTCCATAATCATCCTAAAGAGGGATACGTGGTGCACTGTGGACGATTCTCGGGTCCCTAGTTAATTTTGGTTTCCTAATGGAATTTCCCTCGTGGTAGTGGGGGGTTAAATTTATGTTTCATGAAATCAGGGTTCTTGAATTGAGAAGGAAGGGTGTGGGAGAAGATGTGTAAAAGACGAATTTTCCCCTCACGCGAGGGGCAGATAATTGCATTAGTGAACACTAAGCTAATGGTGTTAACTCGAAACCTAAATTTGCTGTGTGAAACATGAAATGAGAACCATTAATGTACTTAATAAATATTACAAGCCAAAACAAAGTACAATGACCAAAGGTGTAATTCACCCAAACATTTATTTTCTCACAATGCTCCAAGCTTATATTTCCATCATTTTTGACAACATAAATTAACTTATTATATATTTGATCATCGTAATTTCGAATCTGATTTCGAAACTTACTTTTTTTCTTGCATTTTGATTCCTCCATAAATTATAAAACTAACAATTAGAAACTATGATTATTTTCTTTATTTTAAAAGATAAAAAATAAGTATTTTAATTAATTCTCTGCAAGTTTATACCCAAATTCTTCTGGAAATTGGAAAACCCGCATTCATTGAAATTGGGATAACGTTTTATGAAAAATATCCAAACAAACAAACACAAGCCCCATATACTCCCCCGACAAAACCCTTCTTCAATCCTCCTTTGTGTCTCTGCAGCTTTGCTTCTGGGTTTATGGCTCATCCATTGAAACTGTAAGTTCAAAATACATCTTTTCCTCCATCCATGGCTTCTACTTTCTTCACTGCTGTTGATATCTCTTATTATGCCACCATTCCCAATTCTTTAGACCTAAAACATCATCACCATATCCCTTTCACTTTCATCTCTTCAAGAAGACCAAATAAATCCACATTTTTCTACTGTAATTCCTCCAAAAAGCCACCAATCCCTGATATATCACAAGACCCACAGAAGCAAAACCCTTCTTTAGCTGATCAACTTAAAACCTTATCCACAACCACCCTCTCAGACACCCCACAAACCACCACCCAATTGTTGACTAAACCTAAATCCATCTGGGTTAACCCCACAAAGCCTAGACCTTCTGTTCTTAACCTTCAAAGGCACCAGCGAAAGACTTATTCCTATAATCCCCAAATTAGAGACCTTAAGTTGTTTTCCAAGAGGCTTAATGAGTGTGAAGACAGTGAAGATGCTTTCTTGAAAGTTCTTGAAGAAATCCCACATCCGCCCACTAGAGAAAATGCACTTTTGGTGCTTAATAGCTTGAAACCCTGGGGAAAGACGATGATTTTCTTTAATTGGCTTAAAACCCAAGATTCTTTTCCTATGGAAACTATCTTTTATAATGTTACAATGAAGTCTTTGCGGTTTGGAAGGCAGTTTCAGCTTATTGAAGATCTTGCTAATGAAATGATTACTGATGGTGTTGAATTAGATAACATTACATACTCCACCATTATTACCTGTGCGAAAAGATCCAATCTTTTCGATAAGGCTGTTGAATGGTTCGAAAGAATGTACAAAACGGGTTTGATGCCCGATGAGGTCACCTACTCTGCTGTTTTAGATGTGTATGCTAAATTAGGGAAAGTTGAGGAGGTGATGAGTTTGTATGAAAGGGGGAGAGCCAGTGGTTGGACACCAGATGCCATTGCTTTTGCTGTGTTAGCTAAGATGTTTGGCGAAGCAGGCGATTACGATGGTATACGGTATGTTTTGCAAGAAATGAAGTCTCTTGGGGTGAAACCGAATTTGGTTGTTTTCAATACGTTATTGGAAGCAATGGGCAAGGCTGGGAAGCCTGGTTTGGCTAGGAGTTTGTTCGAAGAGATGGTGGCTGCGGGTATTTCTCCAGATGCGAAAACGCTCACCTCTTTGGTCAAGATTTATGGGAAAGCGAGGTGGGCTAGAGACGCTTTAGATCTTTGGCAGAGAATGAGATCAAATGGGTGGCCTATGGATTTCATTTTGTACAATACTTTACTAAGTATGTGTGCTGATCTTGGTCTACAGGAAGAAGCCGAAGGATTGTTTGAAGATATGAAGGGATCTCAACATTGTAAACCGGATAGTTGGAGCTATACAGCCATGCTTAACATCTATGGAAGTGGTGGGAATGTAGAAAAAGCAATGAGTTTATTCGATCAAATGTCGGTTGAGAATGTTGCGATTAACGTTATGGGATGCACGTGTTTGATTCAGTGTTTAGGAAGGGCTAAACGAATGGATGATTTGGTAAAAGTGTTTGAAACCTCCATTGAAAGAGGTATTCGTCCCGATGATAGGCTCTGTGGATGCTTGCTTTCTGTTGTATCTTACTGTGAAAATGGCGATGATTTGGACAAAGTCATTTCTTGCTTACAAAAATCTAACCCGCGATTGGTTTCCTTTGTGAAATTACTGGAAGAATCCAAAATCGGGTTTGAGAAGATTAAAGAGGAGTTTAAGGAGATCCTAAACAACACTGAAGTTGAAGCTCGTAGGCCGTTTTGCAATTGTTTGATTGATATTTGTCGAAAAAGAAATCTTGATGAAAGAGCCCACGAGCTTCTTTACATGGGAACCATTTACGGATTGTACCCTGGATTACATACAAAGACTCCTGAAGAATGGCGTTTGAATGTTCGGTCACTATCAGTGGGTGCAGCCCACACAGCTTTTGAAGAATGGGTGGGAACTTTGACCGCGATGGTTAGCCGCCAAGAACCGCTGCCAGAGTTGCTGTCGGCCAGCACCGGTGCAGGAACACATAAGTTCTCTCAAGGGCTGGCGAATGCCTTTGAATCACATGTGAATAGGCTTTCAGTACCATTTAGGCAGAGTGAAGAAAAAGCAGGCGTTTTTGTAGCAACTAGGGAGGACATAGTGTCGTGGGTGCAATCAAAGGTTCCGAATCTTTCTTAGAGGTATCGATTGTGATTACAGAAGATAAACTTTAATCACTGCTTAGTATTTTTGCTCTAGGGTTCGAGCATGTTTTATAGCTTTAGATATAGTTTCTACAATGAATCTCATTTGAAACGGGCTATACCTTTAAATTTTTGCTGTAAATTCTACTATCTTGTTAATACACACACACACACACATACAGGGAAGGGTTCAAAGGATAGCATCTTCATTTTACTAAAACGTGAGAACACCCATCTACTATAGTTGATGATATGTGATAATGTAGTCAATCACATGTGATAGTAAATCAGACGCGGGCTAAGTCAACATGCACACCACCAGATCCCTTAACTCGTGTCTTTGTAAAATGAAGGTTTTCCCGTGTTAACACCCACCTAATATATGCACACCTTTATTTTATGAAAACACGAGAACGCCCTTATAACATGTGATAATACATGCAAGACATGGTGGTGTGTGGGCGACTTGGCCCGCAACATTGATCACACCAAAGGTCGTCTACTTCTCTTATTTAGTATCACATGTGATGGACTATAGTAAAAGAGTGTTCATGTTTGAACCCTTCCCTATATAGAGAGTCGGGATCATATGAGAAATTATTATTTCCATGAGAAAGTGAAAGTACCTTTATACGGTTATATGGTTTGAAGGTTTTAGCCTTAACATGACCTTCACATAATATAAGATTATCTTCAGAGGCCTCACAGCAAACCTTCACACACGATATGAAGGTACCTTCACCCTTTCTCACCTTCTTATGAAGATAGGTTTTTCTTACTATATATAAGAGAGTTATATGAAAGGGAAGAAGAAAGCGTTCTATAGTCATGACAACAATAAGACTAAGGAGCCATTTACCAAACGCTTAGCGACAAAAGAAATCACCCTTGCTTACCTTGTCGTGTAATATCCTCGGCTATCAAAATGGATTGTTGGTACTTGGTAAGCTTCTTCAACCCGGGTAAGCGTCTTTTTCCTCACTTACCAAGTTAGACTATCGCTCCTTGCTATGCCTCTTACTGGATAAGATTTTTGGTCCTCATCATGCTCAATTGGTAAGCACGTACTCGGTAAGTGTTTAGTAAACGGCCCCTTAAGATGTCAAAACCTGACAGGTCATCTTACCAAACCAAACAAACCCAGTATATCCCAGTTGAAAGTAGTGTATAGGGATGGTATGTAAAGGTAGAACATATGTTTCCACGAAGACTCTTTGAACTGTTCAAGAGACCTTCTGAAACCTCTGACCATATTATGTTGGCCTTACGGTCTCCCAGAAGGCTTACTTATGCAGATAAACTGAACCTGTTTGCAGGAGATACAGCCTCAGTGACTTCAAAACTATCGGTACTTAACTTCACTCTTTTCTTTAGTGATTTGTCGCCCAATTTGTGTGAGGAGAAATGTCGTTCTCCTTCTTTTACGTTTTCTTCTTGTGGGGCACTGATGGTACTTACTTGAATCTGGTAGATCACGAAAGTATATACCATTCTAGTCGAGATCCTAAGTTTATTAGTAAGTTCTTATGTTCTGTTGGAAGCATATATTTATATAACGCAAAACGTACACACACTTCTCATCTTTGATGAAACGAACCCTTATATTGCTAGGCCCACGAGCCCTTTAAGAACTTCTTGAGAAAAAGCTTTGTTTTAGAGTTATGTATGCAGCCTGCTTATTATGCAACCAATTCAATCTTAACCATCAAACTAGAGATGAAGATCCCATTTGATACCAATTGCTACACAGGAACCATGGAGTGAGTGACACTTTATTATTCTCCTGATTGGAGGGCTCTTTTTAAGGCAAGTTTACTAAAAGCTTATCTTTACGGCGTCACTTTACCTTATCAGATAAACATGACAACGATTGAGAATCTTATCCTGTAAGAGTGAGGATAAGGACCGAGAGTCTTACCCGGTAAGAGGTTACTGGATAAATTGTTGCACACGATGCCGTTTTAATGGATCAAAATCTTATCCGCTAAGTTAATTGAAAGTGTTACCTTTTGCCGATAAACGTTTATCAGATAAGGTTTGGGTACACGGCCCTTGAGCATCTTTTAGGGAAGTAGATTCTGGATGGTAAATTTGAATTTTATGTGTGACATCACTTAGGATTTTGATAAAAGTACTTTTTCTTTCAATCATCTATGAACACCAACATAAAAAGTGTAATGAATGTTGTAGAACTCCATTGCTTTCTAAACTTTCTTGATAGTGTTAAAGAGCATAAAATCAAAAAAATGAACTCAATATATCAAAATCGAAAATAGGGTATTGGAGAATTGGGATGTATGTAAATCTATCTTTTAATCATAGGATAGAGTGGTTGTTTCTTGAAGACTCCTATCGAATAAGAAGAACAAAGATTGGAAGAACAAAGATTGGTAAATAGCAAGCAGCAGCAAAAGAATTAGAGTAAAAAGTCTTTTTAGAAAAGAAGGGAAGTGTATATATAGGGGCCTAATCAAATGAGAAATAATTAGTTTGTGGTAACCGTGAGGTTCAGTTTCAACCATAAATCAATAGATAGATTAGGAAATTTATAATTTTGGTAATTTTAAATTAAAATTTTAATGTAAGGACATTTTAGGTATTTTATCTTCTCTCTTCTCTCTCCGTCGTCCGGCCACCATCCTTCGGTGATACCACTGTGATACCTGAAAATATTGACTCTGTTAAACAAAAGACACAGTGTGATGTCCAAACATATATAAGATGCATTGTGATGCCATTGTATTACATCTTCGATCAACCACACAAACGACCTCAGTGTGATACCCAAGCACATATATGATACATTGTGATACCATTGTGGTATCAACGGAAGACGGTGACCGGAGGACGGGAGACGGAGAGAGAAGAGAGGAGAGATGAGAGTTTTAAAATACCCAAAATGTTCTTGCATTAAAATTTTAATTCAAAATTACCAAAATTATAATTTTCCGTATTTATCTATTGATTTGTGGTTGAGATTGGACCTCACGGTTACTACAAACTAATTAGTTCTTATTTGATTAGGCCCTGTATATGTTAACTTTATGAATTAATCAAGAACATTGAATTTTAAAATAAAGGGTTGAGATTAATCATATAATAAATTTAATTTATTAAATATGTAATTTCACAAACATATGTGAACATAATTGCTTAAGGGTATTTATGTAAAAGATAATGTGCATTCAATGACATTGGTCACAAACAATAGAAATCGTATATGTTCAATTGTGTTCATAATTGTTACAAGTGTTCATATATGTTCAATTTGTGTTCATACTTGCTACAAAAATGTTCACATATATGTTCAATTTGTGTTAATAATTGTCACAAGTGTTTATATATGTCAATTTGTGTTCATATAGGTGTATACATGTCAATTTGTGTTTTGACACGAGGGATTTTTTTGTGACGCTATTTATTTAAGGGTGTTATTGTAACCATGTAAACTTTATTAACAACTTAGAGCATCTCCAATAGGATTCCCCTAAATTTATTCAAAATGGAGAAT